TTAATCGCTACCACAGACATTAGTGTTTATATCCGAACTATATACTGGGATCATTTGAATAATTGTAACACTGAAATAATGAAACTGTGTGAAAACACTGTGTGTGAAGCTGTTTCATACCTATGCATGACAACTGCTCTCAACGCAGATTTGTATGTTCGCTATGATCATACTTGTCAAAAAGTTTAGACAGCCAAATTGTAGTCATTTAGGAAAAAGATCGTGTGGGTGTGTGAATCGAGATCGCGATCTTTTAACGAATAATCATGCAGCTCTACTGCACATATTCTTTACTGTTTTCAAAGTTGAAATTTGCTTCTGAACAGACACAAGTCAGTCCGTCCAGAAGTCTCACAGTTACATAAGCATGTTAAATTACAGCCCTCTTGTAAATCACGGCCAAAGTCTTAATTTCGTCTAGATCTCCTCTTTCCTCGTTAGTAAAAGTCACAGAGTTAATTAATTCCCTCACACCCTCCTCTTTCATATGCAGATGAGATGCTATTCTGCCACACAGAAGGCTTTAATAATGCATTCACTTGGATAGGGGAGCTGGTGTCCCATTTTCTGGACAGAATGTGTGATCCGGGACAGCTTGCACGAATGCTCTTCCTTTCCTAGAGTCCGAACAGAAAACATTAGGCTAAATAGTGACTGATATTGAATTTAATCGAAACATTGCCTGAAGTCGATCCTTCTGCAGATGTTTCCCAGTTTCATTCATCAGCTGGGTGCTTGCACAGTGCCCATGGCAGATATATATCAGTGTGAACTGTGCACATCAATCCTCGTAAAGTCTCAGGCTCCAGCCCTGTCCTCTCAGAGTTAATCTTCAAGTTGTCATGGGCATATTCTCTACATTACAGGCCTGCTTTATATCGTCCCCATTAGGTCGAGGCAGTACGAACGTCACTGATTCATTCCACTGTCGCTTTCAGTCAAAAATCATAACGGCAGCCGCATGCTTACATGGCTACATCACTGTCCACTCTAGGAAACCAAACGCTTTGCCATTTATACTCCTCACAAAAAGAGCTGTCTCTCGTAATGGACTGAAACAAGTGTCCTACCCTTCAGGACAGCTCCCTTGAAAGGATAAAAATAGATATAAGTTGGTTGCTGCTTGTGCCGTTGGGTTTCACTGTTGTCATATGGAGCTGTGTGATTCCAGGACCAGGCTTTGGGAGAAAAACGTGGGGAGAGGAAACTTTGCCATTTCTGACAAGGGCATGTGAGGACTCGGGCATTAATAGGCTTTATAAAACGGTTAGTTCCAATCCTTGATTCTGATTGGTCAATAGCTGTGCTTTATTCACGATAAAACACGGCTATGACCGCTTCACCCAACGGTTCTATGTATCACTACACAACACCCCTAGCAACCACTCTTAGCAACTTAAACAGATGTTTCATCTCATTGATATTGTTCATTTAAAGCTAGAGCAGAGCATTGTGAGAGATCGAGTAAGCGAGTGTACCTGCATTTACAGTAGACGTAGCATTTTCCTTCAGGTCAGTCCTATATTCATAATAAAAAAATGCGTTTGAATGTCCGCTGCATATTTTGTCCTTTTAACAGTCATGGGGTTTTCCGTGCATAACGTTAGTCATCTGTCAGTTGCGTCTGTCTTCTCCGTGATCACAAGTTCGAGTCCTTTCAAAAGCCTTCTCTACAGACTCACTCACTCACTCACTCATAAAGACAGTCTTTGCCGCCATCTATTGGCGAAATAATATATGTAACTTCTGTTGCTGTTCACGTTCCGGGACTATTTTTTCCAGCGGAAGGCAGGCTTTTAGTGATTTTACTTCATGAAAGTTGCATAGATACATATTTTTCGGCTTTAATATTTTTATTGTGTGGCAACCGTTTTATAAAAGCAATAAGGTACTCGAGGCAAGTGCTGTATCGTGAATAAGTAACGGCTGAAGGGGTTGCAGGCACTCCGCTTCGCGTCGTGCCTAACAACGCCCTCCAGCCGTTACTTATTCACGATACAGCACAGCCTCTCGTACCTTATTGCTTACTTAATTAATTGTTTACCATGTTCCATTTATAACTCAAGGTTAACGTTATCCTAGAATGTGCCTCAATTCATTTTTCCAGTGTCTTCTGTACATATTTGCTGAGACTGCCTCTGCATTATTTAAATATAATTTTTACACTGTGGTTTATTATAGATATTATCTGGATAAAACATTCTCCTAAACAGCACACACATTTGCAATCCCAGAGAATCCATTCTTATTTATGAGTTTAATAACATTGATTGAACTATAACACTCAACCTGTTTTCACACCCACTTGTCCATTTGTGTGAATGTCCGCACGTAAATCTTAAGTCTTCTACAGAAAAATACGGAAAATGTAGAGGAGTGTTTGCCATTGCTAGACATACCTAAAAGTTTCTGCAACTGTATAAAGCACATGGATATTTAATGAGTCCAGCACTGAGGCAGTTTGATTGGTTGTCTGTTGCTTAACTCAGTGTTACATTCCTGATTCTTGTAGTTGGTGAATCTCATTTAACTGGTCAAGAACATGGCCAGTTCGTATTTCACTACAAAATCAAAGTTAAGGAATAAATCAAATTTGATTGAAGAAAATTAAGCTTAATTTCAGGACCAATAAGTTTTTAAGTTCAAATTCTAACTTCCATAAAAATTTATATTACTTGGTAGGCAATGTATATTTAAGTATTTAAGCATTAGTATTTGTTGTACTGCTCCTAAATAATGGCATCTAATATGACCGGAATATGTTCTTTATACTTTTCATGAGATTTGCACTGTATGGTGGACAAGGGCTTTACTTTACAAAGGCTTAACTTTGGGTTAAAAGCAATGCTAAAACTCTTTTTAAAATTTCAAGTGTGAAACATTGCTTAAAAGGATAGTTCTCTCAAAAATGAAAATTGTCATCATTTACCATCATGTCGTTGCAAAACTGTATGTACACAAAGCACAAAAGAAGATATTTAGATTTTTGAAGAACTCTGGGAACCAAATAACATTGGAGCCAACATTTATTTTTTATGTAATGTATGAACAAAACAAAACTCTGAGACATTTCTCAAAAAATTATTTAAGATTCCACAGGAGAAAAAGAGAGTTGTGCAGATTTTGACCAACATGATGGTAAGAAAATTTAGGGTTAAAATTGCCTTGACCCAGGATTAAACATTGTGTGATGAAGCATGAGTGGTTCAATACTTAAAAATAGTCAGCAACTAAGCAGTTAACTGCTTCAGCATGCTCTTTATATGTTCCACCCTTTGTTCTGTGAATGACTAACACAAGAATCAACACAAAAATTCCCCTGCGTGTTATAACAGCTCTGTAATGACTGATTGGGAATAGGAACCGATCCATCAAACGGAGAAGTAATCTCAGAGTGACAGGAGCAGTTCCACTCCTCTGCGCAGTCTATCGGATTGATGGAAATGCTTCTCGATGTAATGCATAACTGCTGACCTGCCCCGGCAGAACGGCTCGTCCAATACACTTCAGCCCAATCAGATCCTGAGACTAAGACACTGTAGGGAACATTGAAAAGGCTCATCAGCTGCAAACCGTCTAACAAATAATTGCATAAAAGTGACACTGGTTTCAGTAGGAAAGGAAAATTATTTTGGAAAGCACATTTATTACTTCATTACGGTTTTGTTATATGATTAGTTCACCCAAAAAAATACAGTTGTGTCAATATTTAATTAGTAATTTAATTCAAAATCGTTTTTTTCTTCTTCTTTTTTTTCCGTTTTTTTTTTTTTTTCTGTATAGAGCACAAAGGGACAGATTAATAAATACTAGTTGCTCTTTTCCATGCAATTATAAATTAATAAGGACTGGAGCTTTTCAGTCTTCTGAAGCCAAATGATATAGCTTTGTGTGAGAAACTGTGGGAAATTCGCTATTCACTGATAATAACCTTTCCCTCCACTGAGCTACTTAACAACTGTGACCAGGTCATTGAGTAAGAAAGGACTCGAGAACCTGGTCTGTCTTGATTTGTGATTGAATCATTCAGAGTTTTGTAATGTAGATCAATTCAGAAGACTCAAAAAAAGGAATTGGACATATATATATTTTTTTTATCAACTCTCATCAGCATGCCAAACGAGAACAACAGCACATCTTAAATTTTCATATGGCATCTAAGAACTGGTGCACAATGTTATATCGACTACTTTTATAATACTTTTAGGTTGCTTTTACATCCTTTTGAAACTCCAGAAAAAAAAACTCCTTTTTTTTTTTGTTCTCCATGGAAGAAAGTCATATAGGTTTGGGAATACATTAGGGTGAGTAAATAACTATTTTCATTTTTGGATGAACTAGTCATGTAAGAAAATGGTAAAAGCTATTATCAAAAGCCTTAATCATTAATAAAAGAAGAATTGTCCTGTTCTTGTCCAATAAACCTGGCATTGTATATTACGAATATTGTCGGCTCCTGGGTGAATTTCTTTTGTTCCCCTTTTGTTTTTTTGTTGTTGCTTTGTAAAAAATGTCTTATAAATGCAAAAATGTAAAAGTATATATAAAATCAACTTGAATAGTATGAAAAATTTGAAGTCTAGAGCAGAATAGTGACGCATAGCTTTTATTCTCCTGCTGGAATTGCAGTGAAATTATAGTTGAAAAGAAAGTGATTCATCCTTTCAGGCAAAATTGTGAACATGTTCAAATGTCAAGAAGCACATGTTTCTCTCAGTCGTTTCAGGTTCTGCAGCCTACGCAATTGCTGCACTGGACATTTAATAACCATGTTAACGTGTTATAGCACCTTCTTCTTTTGCAGTCATTACGTAAAGTAATTTCCTGTACTTTTCCGAGAAGACAAATGAATTAAATTAGGGTTGGGCGTCCTGGGGGGGGGGGGGGGGGGGGGGGGGTAGCACTCTGACATAAGGATGAACCCTCTTCTTCTGCCTCGGGGGTCAGTGGTCAGAGTCTGCACTGAAACCGTCAGGTGAGAAGACTGTGAGGGCTTTGAAGGAGTTAAACGAGGACCGTCGAGGCTTCAAGCCCAGCGCTGATCAGCACTCAGTGATGCAGGAGGAGGAGGAAGAGGAAGGAGGAGCGAACAGAGCAGCTGAGCCTTTCTGCTCTCAGTCTCTCGTCAGCGAGTGCCAGAGCAGTTTCCTTTGCTGTGCTTCCCTGAGAAACACACACACCAGAACGCTCTTCATTGCTGGTTGGGGGAGAGTGCTAAATCCGTTTCTCTCTCTCCGCCTGGATCATGCTGCCCTGGAAAAGGAGTAAGTTTGTGCTTGTGGAGAATGAGTCCAAAAGCAAGCCAAAAAGTCTTGGAGCCGGGCTCACCTACCATTCCCTGCTGTCGACTTTGCTCCACTCCTGTCCGGACCTCGTTCCTGACTGCCCGTTCCAGTGGCTGGGGAGCGTCTTCCACAGTAAACGGCAGAAAGTGGAGCTCAATAAAGAGGAACCCACCTACAAGGTGCGTTACCTGGGCAGCGCGGTCACCATCATGGCTAAAGGTGACGACTGCACGCAGGAGGCGGTGGCCAAGATTTGGACTCGCAGCAACTACGGCGAACAGAGCGCCAAGATGAAGCTCACTGTCGGGCCGCATGGCATCCGCTTGGGGGCGGATAGAGGTGGCAAAAGGAAGCCCGTCCACCTCTATTCCCTCAACCGCATCACATACTGCGCAGCTGACCCCTTTCGGCCCAAGATTTTCGCTTGGATTTACAGGCATCAGGTGAAGAATAAAGCAGTGGTGCTACGCTGCCATGCCGTCCTGTTGCCGAAGGCGGAAAAGGCCAGAGCGATAGCGCTCAGCCTGTACCAAAACTCAATGTCTGCATTCACGGAGTTCAAGCGGCTGAAGCGCCAATCTGACTTCCGCCATTGCCAGCAGCAGCTGTTGGGTGAAGACATTGTGCCTCTTATGCCTCTTCGGAGACTCCTAAATGGCCAATGCCACTACCAGCCACCTACAGAAAAGCCTGGGAGTGCCACACGGCTCTCCTCGATTACTGAGGAAGAGGAGGAGGAGGAGGAGGAGGAGGACCGACAGGGGGATGCGCAGTCCAACAACACCACGACAAACACCGGCACATCCAGTCCCCTTCCGGAGAAAGATCTGGGGAAGATCGTAAATAGACTGGACGAGGTTTCGATTACCAGCTGGGATGAAGCACAGATGACTATCAGCACTCTGGTGTGAGGGTCACATGGATACAGTTTAGCGTCTTCACCACTGAGCCTCTGTCCTGTCGCCTTTCCTGCCAACCCAGTCTTGTCTGGTACGTCCATCGATGCACCGTGAAACAGCCCTCCGAAACTTGGGGTAAGGACCGTTGGCACCCACGATGCTGCTTGCAGAGGAACTGATCCATGAGATGCATGGAGAGGGAGAGCCAGTACAAGCACAATACAAGGAGGACCACAGGTACACCAATCATTTGGAGTTGGTCGAGAGCTTACACCGAAAAGCCTTTATCTACCCCCGACATCGAGCAAAGCTTAAACTGCACCCGAAGACAATAAAGCATTCATCTCGTACTCACACCACCTTTTTTCTTTCTTTTTTTTGAGTACATGCCAAGTGCTTTAGACTGACGGATTATTAGAAGGAACATTAAAATGTGACTTTTTGTACAGCCAGTCTGTCTTTTGATGTTTGTAACTGTCCCCCGGTGACCTCTCTCAACAGGCTCAGCTTCAATGGGATGCGGTTAAAGCTGGTTTATTGGCACTGGGAGCCGCACTAATGAATTAAACCATAACTTAGGAATCCAGTCGTTGACTTGACATGTTTACTGCTACCATTCGTCACAGCTCTGCTAATCAGTAATGAATAACAAGTGGAGGCATCACCTGTGATGTTTAAGATGGGCCTTTTAAAATGTGTTTTTAAACGGTATCAATTTTACACTGTGATTTGTCTGGGACCAATGGCAGCCATGCATCTTGTGTTTATACAAACGAGCAATTGTAATTTATGCTGAATTTGTGTTGGCGTAATGTGTTAGTCATAAAAACTCATTTTTATGCTGTTCACATGAAGGTCGCAGCTTCCATCTGTCAAAGCTATGTGTTTTGTAATTTCAGTGCATTGTATTAATCTTCTGGAAACTGGGGAAAACCGTAAAACATTTTTCTACTACTTCCATCTTTTTCTGCACAATGGGACACTGTCGGTGTGAAAAATTGCCAGATGTTGCATAATAAAATGTTTGCTTATATTAATCATGAATTCTTAGAGCCCCAGGTTTCCATTTATTTCATCTCGGGGTGATCGGATTGAGTTTGTTTGAAGGATTTGAAAATGCAAACTGCTGATGTTCAGGCTGTATTTCAAAAGATCATTTCTTGCTTAAATAAATATTGAATTCTTAGAAAAGGAAAAAAATGTCCATTGGCATCTTGTGAGTGGGCTGTGAAAGGAACTGATTTCATCTGTTGCTGAGGGGCATTTGGCTTTTCCCTCAAAGTGAGGCAATTAATCAGCCGATTGAATTGTTGAGAATGTGAGCATAAAACACCTGGGCAGGCAGCGCAGAGCTTTCAGCTTGACATGAAATCTGCCAGAAGAGGCTTCAACAGCCTCTCAGCGCATAGTTGATTAAATCGGACAAAAGGACAAGCACATAAATAAGCAAAACTCCATAAGATCTGCATCCAATTCACCATATCTGCTTTCTAAAGTGCAGTTGAAAACGGTTTCGTTAGTGGTGCTTGCTAGGGCAAATATTGCTATTGCTCCGGTTTAGGCAACAAGGGTTGTGTGATTGATTTATTCCTCAAATCGTGTCACTTAGGAGAGATGTACTCTTAGCTTTCTAAGTGATTATACCTGCAATTCTCAATGAAGTCCCATCGAGTTATATTGAAGGAGGAACCCAAGCCATATCTAGAGACTTGAGGCTGGATTCTTGACTGTAGCCAGTAAGAAACCACCTAGCAAACAACTAGAACACCTTCAAAACTGCATAGCAGCACAAAACCCATTGTGGCACTTTTTCTACATTAAGGGCCAGATTTACTAACGTCTTGCACCTGCAGAAACCCTCTTTTGGAGTAAAAAAAAACTACTGTCAGGATTTACTAAAGAAAATTAGCGCTGAAAAGGCATGGACAGGGTTATTTTTGCATCTGATCTTATTGCATATGCATTTGTAGGAGTTTCCCTTTCAGACGCAAAATTCATGGGAGTATTTAAATTAATCATACAAGGTGATTTACTAAGGTTTGCGCTAGTCAATTTACTGGCTCTTGGTAGATTGCGTTGTCATTATGATCTGGCTGCGTCTGTGTTCTTTAATTTGCATGTCGTCAGTAGATCACAGGCAGAGCTTTCCACTCCTTTTTTTAAGTAATCTGGCCCTAAATGTACAAATCTAGTTTGTTTTGTTGTTTAAATATTTCGTTTACAGCACCAGATACAATTTTAGATCATTTTAAAATTAAAAAAATTAATTGTTTGTCCTTGAGATAGTGTGGGTCTCTGCATTTTTAGAGGTCTTGTGTTCTGTTCTGACAGAAATATGTGGATTTTTGTTAACGGGGCATCAACGAGGCATAGAGAAAGAGGGAGACATATTTGTCAAATAACAAATACAGTCTGAAAATGATGGCAACAGAAATGTGCATTATGAGAGGAACACACATTTTAGATTATTGTGAAGCATGTGTTTCACAAGCATTATTTTACTACATCTGGATTGAACTCCAAATGCAAACCACTTTGAATTTGCCTTCTGTCTAAAAGATTAATTTACCCAAAAGGAAATTCTGTCATTTCCCCCCTGGTGTTGTGAAATACATTTAATCCTTTATGGTGTAATTTTGTCTTTGGAACAGTTAATATATGACTTAAACCCCTGGTTTCACAGACAAGGCTTGAAGGTGCAGTATGTGATTTTTAGCGGCATCTAGTGGTGAGGTTACAAATTGCAACCATCAAAAGTTACGGTTGCCGACAGAAGATGTCGTCGTCTGAGATGGCAGAGAGTAGCCAGTTAAGCAATGAGGTTTCTTTACAAAGATACATTAAGAAAAGATGTTTACTTTATTATTCAGTAAAACGATATGTTATTGCGAATATTATTGTTACTTGTTCATCATTGTGTCAGTGTTTTATTCGCTGACTTTAGCTAGCTTCTTTGCATGAAGAACAACATAGTGACGAAACGCGTTTGACCGTTTAGGGCCACAGTAGAAACACGTCGGTGCAAAATGGCGCATTCTAAGGTAATAAAAACAAAACGGTTCATTAAGTAATATCATTATACACCACTGAAAACATAGTTATGTATATTAAAATGCATTTCTGTCTACAGATCCTCCTAAAATAACACAATGCACCTTTAGTCCCAGACTAAAATGCATGTTTGAGCTGTTTTAACTGAAAGCAACTTGCACTAACATATCTTAAAATATGTCAGAGCCATTTTTTTTATCTCAAGATGCACACCAGTAATGTTTTTCTCTAAGGCACGTTTATTAAAGCTTTTTAAATGTCCTAATTGAACTAAGGCCTAAACATGTTTTTTAAACAGCTGTATAAGTTTCTACAAAATGTCTCTTTTGTGTAACACAGAAACAAACAAAAAAACTGGTAACACTTTACTTAAAGCCCTTGTGTATAATGCAATATAAAGACCTCAAACTTTTGAATTTTAGTATAAATGACAGATTGACATTTAGTGGCTGTGATGGACACCATTTTGTCCCTGGGATGGGATTCTGAAAAGTGTAATCTCACCTCTAACTCTCTAACTGTTAGAAAATGTGAGTGTGAGTTTGAGTGTGTGAGTGACAGAATAATGACAGTGAAGAGTGTTACTTCTCTCCTGTAAGCCTCAATGAAAGTGTTAATAGCCTCCTTTGGAGGCACAGAGGGGAACAAGGTGTGCTGGGCCGGGACATACAGGATCAATGAGCCATCTTTCAGGCATACAGAGAGAGAGAGCGATAAAAAGGATGACAGCCCTGTTTTAGGTGTGTGTGTGTTTAAAAACGAGAGATAAAGAGAGAGACTTGCATTTGTATTCCTCAGCAGAACCGTTCTCTTCTCTTGAACAGCAGCGCTGGATTCTGCATTATTACTTCTAAACACACACTGTTCCCGATCAAATTCCCTGAAGGCTCAATCATAAATAATTAATTTCTTGAGAAATATTTGCACACATAGTTCGAGAGCAAAGATGTTTACTCTATTCAAACTTAGTTGAGCAAAGCTTTGATAGCGTTTAACCTCTAAATAAAGATGGTTTTATTTAAATCTCTAAAACAAATAAAAGGCAAAATAAGAGAAACCTGATTGATTTCCTGAACAGATCTGGCAAGAGAGTGCAGAACTGAAGGGGGTTTAGTAGAAACTGTTTTTTATGCATTTTTTGGTTGCTTTATTTTACAATACATGCACTTACATAGTGTACTTACTTAAGAATACTGGTTAAACTAAGGTAACCACATGGGTTAAGGTTAGGTATAGGTTCAGGGTTAGTTATTACCCAGTTATTGTAATAAGTACACAGTATTTACATGGGGAACATTACTCTAAAATAAAGTGCTACCCATTATTTTAATAACATCAAGAAAATTAAATGTTGAATTACATGTGGCGGTTTATTAATCTCATATCAATATTTACTAAGAAAAGCTTCCAAGTGATTCACACTCTAATGACAATTTGTCGTTTGTCGACAAGATATCGTATGACTTGTCTTGACACTACCGTTCAAAAGTTTGGGGTCGGTACGATTTTTTTAAGTTTTTGAATTTTGATATAAGTCTCCTATGGTCATCAAGGATTAATTTATTTAATCAACAACACATTTAAACAGTAATATTGTAAAGTATTATTAAAGTTTTTACAAGAAATCTTCAGAAATCATTCTAATATGCTGATTGCTGCCCAATAAACATTTATTATTATTATTGTCAATGTTTAAGACCGTTTTGCGGCTTAATATTTTTTTGGTGGAAACCTTTGATGAATAGAAAGAACAAAAGAACAGCATATGGATATCTTTTTGTAACATTATAAATGTATTTACTGTTGCTTTTGATCAATTTAATGCATCCTTATTAATAAAAGTACTAATTTCTCTAAAAAAGTGTATCTTGGTAGTGTATATAAAGAGCATTCCTGTAACTCAAACATTGGAGTGAGCAAGGAATTGACAGTCTTAAACAAAATGTACCATATTTACTTCAACATGCATTCCTGGTATTATTATTTGTGCTTTCCAAAAGAATAAACTCCCAAGATGACTTCCTATTTCAAAATGCGTCAATGGAAGTAAAATGGGTAGCAAATGCTTTCATGTTAACTTTAGATCTTTATTTAAATGAAGATAATAATAGATTCAAAAGGAACACGATGTAATTCTAACACACAAACGGCTGCATGAAATTAGATTGCCTGCAGTATAATTGTTATGCAACGCTATCATAAATCAGGCTAAAAACTTGTCCACGCTGATCCATAGAATCCGAGCTGAAAAAGCTTATCTGTTATTAGTGCTATACAGAGCAATATACTCCAAACACAAGCCACCCACAAGGGACCTGCTGGGCTCACTGACAATGAATTTTGCATGACCTTTCAAAAACAATGCTTGCACACCTTTACGACCATATATATTTTATGGTGGATGAAAGATATTATTCTCTGACAGTCCCCCTGTTAAGACCGATCAGCATCTGTACTGTTATCTAAGCTATAGAATCTGTGTGACTTGAATAATTCAGTGTTTTCATCCAAAAAATTCTCTTTGCTTGTGTGTTTTCTCAGCTCATGTTTCTCTGCAGTTCTAGAACAAGATGAGGAGAAACTTTAATGGGGAGAGGATTCTTCAAAGATCAGAGCAAGACCTTTGATGTTGATGCATCGCTTGTTTTAGCATCAAATTTCACTCGCAGAAAAAAATAAAGAGAATAAGGCAGGTTAATTTGCCCATGAGAATCAGATGTTTAAGACTAGTACCATTAAAGAAAATGTGAAATCGAAATCGACCCACTCATTAATGCACAGTATTGATTATTAAATAACTTTCCTGCTGATGTAACAAGTAACAAGCAAAATTAATTTTTTTAAGGTGTTTGATCAAAGATGTGTGTCCACAGTGTTTGTAAACAACCAGCCTATAAAATCCACCCACTCCTTCTGTTGAATTTCATTTATGAAGTGTTATATATTTGCACAAATCATTTTACGCCGGACTGCTTCACAAATGCGGGTCAGTT